AGATTAAACAATTTCATGAAAAAATTTCATAAAATTAAACAATGAAATCGACAGATGAAGGTGGTTTGCACGGTTTACACAAATGAGAGCGGTTTTCATATGATCACTCCTCTCTCTCTCTCTCTCTCTCTCTATATATATATATATATATATATATATACTTAACCAAATGAAAATTGATTAGTTTATGGTAACTGTGAAATCTAAACTCAACCATAAATCAACGAATAAATTAGAAAATTAATAATTATGGTAGTTTAAGTTAAAATTATAATTAGAGGACATTTTAGGTATTTTTAAAAAACTCTTCTCTCCTCTCTCATCTCTTCAACCTCCAATCTCCAGCCTTCTGTGAACAAAAATCCGGCAGATATCAAGTAATAACAAAGATACACAATGTGATACCCATTGTGATATACAGTGGTACTCAAATGATATCACAATATACCATAATGGGTATCACAGTATATCACAATCAGTATCACATTGTGTATCTTTGTGATTATTTGGAACTTGCCGGATTTTTGTTCACCGGAGGCCGGAGATTGGAGGTCGGAGAGATGAGAGAGGAGAGAGAAGAGAGGAGAGATAAGTTTTTTTAAAAATACCTAAAATGTTCTCTAATTATAATTTTAATTCAAACTACCATAACTATTAATTTTCTAATTTATCTATTGATTTGTGGTTGAGATTGAACCTCACGGTTACCACAAACTAATTAGTTCTCATTTGATTAAACGCATATATAATATATATATATATATATATATATAAACCTGGATATTCAATCCGTTATGCGAGCCGACTAATCACATGACGACCACATACTTTGCAGATAGTCTGAACTCACCGCATTTGAACCTCCGTGACCACAAGAGGATTTTTATTCCTCCTTGAATTTGAACCTAAAACCTCATGGTACTTTTGATCTTTTGAGCCAAGCTCAAACTGATCAGCCACCACTCTTGTGGTTGAAAATATTATATTTTCATTTGTCTAAAAAAACACATTATTTGGGCAAATTAAATGGTTGGTCCCTATGGTTTACATGTTATGATATTTTAAGTACTTCTATAAAACTATTTGAAGATTACACCCTTGTGTTTTACATTTTAAAACATATTTGGTTCTTTGATAGGACTCCATCCAAAAAAATATGCTAAGTGACTTGACTCATAGGGACATTTTAGTAATTTTAGTTTTCTTTTATTTTCTCTAAGAATCAGATTTTTATTATTATTACTATTATTACATATACACAAAGACATGATAAAACACCATTGTTCTCACCGTTATCGACTTCCATCCAACTGCTCATATTGTCGCTCCCAACTCCAACATTTATCTCTTGGGGCCTTCCCCAACTCCTTCCATCTCCATCTACACTGGCCTCTTGATTTGGTTGTTGCCACCGTCGTGACAACACTTCTAGAACGAAACCGCCATGACACCACATTGGACCATATATGAACTATCATGCCAAAATACCATATCATATATGAACCCCTAGGTACAAAATCATTGTGTACAGAACTCCCATGTACTGAAGTCGTAGGGAGTCAGGGGGTTTCATCAAGACTAGATTCGAGATTCACCACACAGGAAAACAATCCAAAACCGATGTGACTCTAGGTACGAGATCTAGATCCATTGGGACTCGTCCCCCTCCTCGTATGCATAAATAGGACCACAAAGACCATCTCTGACCTCCATTTCACCATCACCATCTTTGGCCTGCAATTTTTTTTTTCTAAAACAAATCCAGATCCCATTTGACAATATTTCTTTAGAAGCTATGATTTAGTGTTTATTATATTTAGGGTTTTTGTTTGTTTGAAACTGATGTGGGGTTTTACATGTTTGATAAATTGAGTGTTTTTTCTTTATATGATATTTGTACATGACATTTTGAATGGTACTGGAGATTTACATATATTTGTTTTGATGTTCTAGGGTCCATTTTCATGGTTGAATGTTTTAACAGTTGATATTTTGATGTTCATTTCAAATTAATTTGGTTCGGTTGCGGGAACACATATTGCATATGGGATTTTTTTCCTCAGGAAGGATCGCTAGAGTGGGTGCCGAAAAACCGTTGGCTGTCGGAAGACCTCAACAGGAGGGAAGTGAGAGAGGGGAAAGGAGTAGTTGAAAATGTTTAATTTTTAATTTTAGTAGAAGATAAGGAGAAGTAGTAAAATGGCTAAAATGATCGCTTGGTTAACCTATTTAATATAATTTTTAACAGAGTTAGGCCCCAGGACTCGATATGTTGTAAAATTTATACCGCATGGCTCAAATATGTAATTATTTCAAAAAAGGGAACTTAATGCATTATCACATGTAAAACACATGGACCAATCATGTAATTTTCTAATAAATTACGATTTTTTTCCATAGTTTATTTTAGTAAATTTCTTTTTTGATCCCTACGTTTTTTTTCATTTTTCGTGGTTTTGGTTCATAGAATTCATTAAATACAAAACCGTTATCACGGTTTTCATCTTCGCTTGGTTTTGGTGCTTCCCACTTTTTAACTTTCATCCATGAAATGAAGGCACTTTAGTATTTTAACCGTTTTTTATGTTTTCATATTCTTTAATTAGATAGTATCTACACACACACTTCCCTGATCGAACCCTTTACCTGTTCTTCCTTTGGTGCCCCCAAACAAAACATGCATCCACTAAATGAGATGCGACAATCCTTGGAAGTAGATGCAACTGCAAAAGGGTCGACTTTGTTTCTGGATGAGTACCGATTGGTGGTATTTGTCTTCGGTTTTTTTATCGAGTCTTCTTCTTTGTCTTTTTTCATGTGTTTTGCTTGTATTCTCAGTGTCATATTTCTCCATCTTCTACATCTCTCTATTTCTTATGACATAATTCAACACCCAGACATCCTTCCCCCTTCGATCCACATACTATCATCTCTCTCACACACACAAACACCTAGAATGCACTGTAGGAGGAGTAGGAAAAGCAACATAAATCAATAAAAATGATGATAAATGATATGTTTATTTTCCATATTGGTATCAATGCACTTTTTAATCCCATTTTTGCAAAAGATGGGGATGATTGTAGAGATAAATTTGGATGGATTCCAACAAGTCTCAGCTCTACCTACTTGTAAGAAGCATCGATAAAACAAAAAACCCAAATCAGTTAAACGATAGCATCGATGAAACTGACAAAAAAAAATCATAAATCCGTTAAACGACAAGCATCATCGATGAGACAAAGATCTAATATTTTGTCCTACAGGTTTTTGAAGGGATTTTTGTAGAGATCTCAGTAGATTTGTAGAGAAATAAGAAATAGAGGAGGGGAGGCATTCTATCTCAAGTTCATAGATGACGTATATGTTTCTCTTCGTTCATGGAATGACGAGTTATATGCTTCTGTACAAAGTTGGTGAAGCGTTGGATCATCTATTGACTTGGTGATAAATCTTCGACTAATATTTAAAAACTGTAACGACAAATTTGTATTACAAAAGTAATTGCTAATAAGGATTAAAAAATAAATTTAAATCAAAAACTTACAAAAATAAAATGTTGTTTGAGGGAGAAAAAACCATTTGTTCAGTATTTTTTATTTGTCGATATTTTTTTTATCTATCGGTCTTATTTTTCAACTTAATGAAAAAGCGTTTGATGGGGTAACCTTTGTAAAGTTGCATTGTTTTCCGAGGGAAGGTAGGTTTGATCAAAGTTATCAATATTTGATTTTAAAATTATAAAATAAATGATGAAAATATGACACACAACAGACAAGAAAACAACGTAACATATAATACATATGTTTTCGTAATGTTTGATTGTTTCTTAGATATTTTTAAATAACAATCAAAACTGCTGAATGAATCATATTCAATAACGTCAATAGCTCATAATAAATATAAAACATAACGATAGGAAAATGTCATTGAAATTGAATGATGTTTCAACGATTTTGACATTTCTGTCTTTGAAAATTTTGTATTAAATTAAATGATAAAATTTTATATCTCGTGCTCATTCAATTTCTCTATAAAAAAACCTTCCTCAGATGATTATTATCAAGTCCATGACAATTTATTATATATATTATTTTGTTAAACAAAAATTGTAAATTAAAAATCATAATGTTTTTAAAAGTCATTAAGTTATTTTTAAGAGTCTATAATATTTTTAGATAATAAAACATAAACATATACAATGAAAATTTGGGGCGATAATATTGTATCAGACTAAACCAGTTAAAATACATGTCAACCATAACAATTTAATTGGTACAAATTACAATCGGTTGGTATTAACTGTTTAAATATGTAAACTTTGTTGGCACACAGTATTAGAAATCGTGTACCATGATAGTATCATGGTACCAACTTATTTAAATTACCTATTAGTTTTTGTATTTTTTTATGCATTGAATATTAAAGATTTTATTTTAACTATTTTGTTGAACATTTGAATGTTTGAAAGTTTTGTTTCTAGCACTAAAAAACCCCTTAAACATCACATGTGTAACTTGAAAACTCAAAATCTGAACAA